AAAACATCTCTGGGCAAATGGCTTCAAGTCGCCCGCCTTGGCCTGTGTTTCTCATAGATTTTGCCCAAAACCCGCCGCTGGAATGTAAACAGTTGCGTGACGCGGATAGCCACTCTCAATTAAATATTCGTTTCCAGCAATCTGATGAAAGCAATTTTTGAAACGTTGTGTGGATAAAATAATGGAAATTTTTTTTTCGTCTTTTTTTTTTTTTTTTTTTTTAATTCTTTGGAGTCCACCAGTGATCATTTTGAGCTTTCATCTAAATTTTGGAACGAAATAAATTAAAATTGGTTAGGGTTAGAATTAGGGTGAAGACCTGAGCCCTTCAAAAAAGGTGAATCATCGGTTTGTTCTTCACCCGTATGTTAATTACATTGTAAAGTCGAGTCCCACTGCGAAGCAATTCAAAATCTTTGTTGACACTTAAGTCTACGAAAATGAGAACTTGACATAATCTTAAGAAAATGATCTAACATGATTGATAAGTGAAATTAAAAATAATAAGCTAAGTGGAAACGACACTGTCGTTATCCAGTCAGTTTTCTTGACAAAGATCAAGTATCTTGATACCTGAATTTTTAGCCAATAAGTAACGGAGTCCCACGGTCCAATGAAGAGACTCTTCCTGAGTTGGAAATACCAAGTCCAAAGTCGAAAAGTCGTCCCCGTGAATGATAGAAAAACATCGATCCTCTGCGTATACTTCGGGACATTGAGTGAAAGCATCTGTGGTATATCCCATTCGCACTTCTCTTATAGATGTTATTGGGACTGAAAGAGTAAAACAGTGGTGTATAGCTAGCTTGTTTCCAAACTATTGCGATGTGGGAATCATTCCAGGTTGCTATATTAAATGTTGAAAGGTACTGAGAACTGAAAGGAGCTGGGGGCAATGACTCTATCCATAAGATTATATGGATAAATCTAGCAAAAGAGCACAACCCAGTGAAAAGTAAAGCTTAATTAGTTCGCTTTGCTTGTATTTGTACATGTTTGACTAATTTTAATTAAAGTTTCGAATACAAAAAAAAAAAAAAAAAAAAAAAAAAAAAAAAAAAA